AATTCCGGGCTCCCTCTTTGGTGCGGCTGAATCGCTACTAACGATGAGGGGCCCTAGAAATCCCTTGGAGAGTATCAGCCCAAGCTTCAAGCCAAAGTACACGGCCAAGTACATGTTGCGAGTCAATGGAGGAAATGTCAGGTATCGAGTAGATGAATTGGGGTCTGAAAAATAGTCAATTAGATATTTAAACATGTATCATTGTCATAAAATAAATCATATTTCACGGACAACAGCTCTAGACTAGAAATGGTTGACCTTAACAACATTCGATATACCCAATAATGCACCGAATCTTCAAAGTACCCGCTGGTATGGAGTAGCCTGGCTGACCATGTGGGTGTGTAACTGATCGACCCATGGCGGTGCAATGGCCTGGCCTCTGCTGTTGCTGCTGCTGCTGCTGCTGCTAAGCCTCGCAGAATCCTTGCCCGTAAAGGCCACTGTAGCTACAATTCTCGAGTCGCGCAGCTGAGCAACACCAACATACGTAAGGTAGCGCAAAGCTCTCCTCCACCTGGCCCCCTTTCTATCTATCCGTTCCTCCCTGCACATTTCCTGAAGCTTCATCTTCGTCTTCCTCTTCGTCTTCATTGTCTGCCTTCCCTCTTCTTTCGCCTTTGCGACGTCTTCCATTGCAGTCGTCGCTTTCACGGATTGGCTGCTTTGTTTCTGTCTTCCTTGTTTTTTTTTCTTTTTCTTTTGACTGCTTCATGAGGCGCCTTTAATCCATATCTATTCTCTTTTTTCCTATTCGAGACGCTCTTTTAACAAGTCCAGACTCGCTGGGCGTTCCACCACCAGAGCCGGGTCCTCTATTCCGATCGCAAACGCTTTATTCTTAGATTCATCTTCTACTTCTTCTTCGTCCCCCCGCCGAATTTATTCGCCATGGCGAAAGCGCGGGGCAAAAGTCCCCAACCTCCGCGGGCTGTCGAGAAACAAGCCTCGCCAGCGCCTGTCGCAACAACCGCCAGCTCTACCAAGTCCAAGAGCAAGACCAAGAAGAACCCCTCCTACAAGTCAGATGGTGTAGAGGACAACGATGTCTTCCTCTTGCCCGTATCCGACTACTATGTCGCTTTCTTCGTCACTCTTCTCGCTACCGCCGTCCGTCTCTTCAGAATCTACCTACCCACCAGCGTTGTCTTCGATGAGGTCCAGTGAGCAGCTCCCAGAAACACACAATGGCTTCCTATTCACAGCCCACTGACACTCTTCCTTCTTTGCAGTTTCGGTGGATTCGCTTCCAAGTATATCAAAGGCCGGTTCTTCATGGATGTTCATCCACCTCTGGCCAAGATGCTCATCGCCCTGACTGGATGGCTCGCTGGTTTCGATGGCGACTTTGACTTCAAGGATATTGGCAAGGACTATCTTGAGCCCGGCGTTCCCTATGTCGCTATGCGCCTATACCCTGCGATCTGCGGAATCTTCCTAGCTCCAAGCATGTTCCTAACACTCAAGGCTGTCGGATGTCGCACCATGACTGCTGCCCTAGGTGCCAGTCTCATCATCTTTGGTATATTTAGTCCCTCGAATACCCTTAATGCTGTATATTCGATCGCTAACAGCCGCTCTAGAGAATGGCCTCCTTACCCAAGCCCGTCTCATCCTTCTTGATTCTCCCCTAGTTGGCGCCACTGCTTTTACCGCCATGGCATTCACTTGTTTCACAAATCAGCATGAACTTGGGCCCGAAAAAGCTTTCCAGCTTAGCTGGTGGTTCTGGCTTGCCATGACTGGTCTCGGCCTTGGTGTCACCGCAAGCATTAAATGGGTTGGCCTCTTCACCATTGCCTGGGTAGGATCTTTGACCCTTGTGCAGCTTTGGGTGCTTCTCGGTGACGTCAAGAATGTGTCCTTGGTATGTCAATATGCTCATATCCCTCTTCTATTACGTATCCACTAACCGTTATTCAGCGCATTTGGACCAAGCACTTCATGGCCAGAATATTCTGTCTCATTATTATTCCTGCCACATTCTACATGGCCATGTTTGCGATTCATTTCCTCTGCTTGGTAAACCCTGGTGACGGTGATGGATTCATGAGCTCTGAATTCCAGGCCACTCTCAACAGCAAGGGAATGAGGGATGTTGCTGCTGATGTTATCATGGGAAGCCGAGTCACCATTCGCCATGTCAACACCCAAGGTGGCTACCTCCATTCCCATCCTCTGATGTACCCCACCGGCAGCAAGCAGCAACAGATTACCCTTTACCCCCACAAGGACGACAACAATGTTTGGATCCTTGAGAACCAAACCCAGCCCCTCGGTATTGATGGCCAGCCAATCAACGGCACATATGCTTGGGACCTGTTGTCCGAACCCCACTACATTACAGATGGCTCAGTTCTCAGGCTCTTCCACAAGCCCACTTTCCGACGTCTGCATTCACACGATGTTCGCCCTCCGGTTTCCGAGGCTGAATGGCAAAATGAGGTTTCCGCTTACGGCTATGAAGGCTTCGAAGGTGACGCCAATGATTACTTCCGCGTTGAGATTGTCAAGGCAAAATCCAAGGGCGCCCTCGCCAAGGAGCGCCTCCGTACCATTGAGACCCAGTTTAGGCTGGTGCATGTAATGACTGGTTGTGTTCTCTTTTCTCATAAAGTGAAGCTTCCCGACTGGGCTTCTGAGCAACAGGAGGTGACCTGTGCACGTGGTGGCAGCATGCCCAACAGTTTATGGTATATTGAGCACAACGAGCACCCATTGCTTGGAGATGATGTTGAAAAGGTCAACTACGCCGACCCAGGTTTCTTTGGCAAATTTTGGGAGCTTCACAAGGTCATGTGGAGGACAAATGCTGGTCTAACGGAATCCCACGCTTGGGACTCTCGCCCTGAGTCGTGGCCAATTCTTCGCCGTGGCATCAATTTCTGGGGCAAGCACCACATGCAAGTCTATCTCATCGGTAACCCCGTCATCTGGTGGTCCGTTACTGCTACTGTTCTGCTGTGGGTGCTCTTCAAGGGTGTCGCCATTATTCGATGGCAACGCAGTTGCGACGATTACGCCAGCAGCACTTTCAAGCGATTCGATTACGAGATTGGAACGTCGGTGTTGGGCTGGGCCCTGCACTATTTCCCTTTTTACCTGATGAAGCGCCAGCTCTTCCTTCACCACTACTTCCCTGCCCTTTACTTCGGAATCATTGCCTTGTGCCAAATGTTTGACTTCGTCACTGCCAGGATCCCAAGTGCTCTTGGCAACCGCAGTCCCATCTTTAATCGCATTGCTGTTGTCGCTTTCCTGACCCTCTCAGCGGCTGTCTTTACCCTGTTTGCGCCTCTTGCCTATGGAAACCCATGGACCAAGGCTGAATGCAGACGCGTCAAGCTTTTTACTACATGGGACTTTGACTGCAATACTTTCCTTGACACCGTAAGTCCTTCCAACACCATTCCCGAAAGAAGGCTTCCGCAACGTGGATGATTTTGGGATGACACGGGCAAGGTCATTACGGTGCCTTGCCCGGATAATGCCAGTAGCCGTAGGGGGAGCAGCGATTTGAGATTTCCCCGGACCCTTGACTAACCTGATCTACCTTTTAGTATGACGGATACAAGAGTTTATCACTTACTGAGGTTCCCGTTGCCAGCGCCTCGGCCCCGCCAGCTGAGATTCCCGTTGTCCAAGACGAAGCTCAAAAACATCTGGGTCAAGCCGATGGGGCCATCATATCACAAGCCGCTGTTGCCCCAGAGCCCAAGATCCTTTCAATGGAGGAGAAGATTGAGTACCGGGATCAGGATGGTAACCTTTTGGACCCCGAGCAGGTCAAGGCCCTCGAGGGAAAGGTCGAGTTTCAGACAAAGTATGAGACGAAAACGCGCATTGTTGATGAGCATGGAAGGGAAATTCCCAACCCTGAAGCGGTCGGTGGCGTTGCTCCACCTCACCCCGACGTAGAGGGTGTTGACAAGGAGACCATCCAGGCAGAGAGTGTCGCGGCACCCAAGGATGCGGCTGCTAGCCGCGATGGAGAGAAGGAGGCAGAGCAATCAAAAGCTAAGCCCGCGAGCGAGGGTCAGGAGGCAACTGTCCAGGAGGAACTATAAGCGCAGTTTATGGAAACTACAGCTTATGATGCATGACACTGACCTTTGGCTGGCCCAAACTCTGGAGTGAGGGTCATGCGCTGGGGAACGAGTCACATAGTTTTGAGGTCCTAGCCTCGATTATTTATCTGGGCTGCCTATATATCATCACTTGTTGATGTAGGAACAAGTGCGGTACCGTTTTTTCTCCACTTAATTGAAAACAAGATCTGAATGACGAGACGGAGTGAGATGAGGTCAGATAGATGAGGACCCCAGGGCGGACGGCGTAGGGTGTCTCGGTCTGAAGGAATATCAAAAAGTAATGGAAATGTAGGGGAGTTTCAAAAGCATGGTGCCATTTAATGGGCGGATGTATATCAGTCTCACTACGAGTAGTCTCCTTGGCTGTCAATAAATCATGCAACGAATTGCAGCAGCAAGGATGCTGGGCCTTGTAGTGTTGATGGATAGATGCACATTTCAAATCAATTCTGTACATGAAAAGGGTAAAGGAAGCATTTGAAATAGTATGCCAGTAATCAGCTCTTACACATGTGAAAACACGATTCAGTAGACAGAGACCAACTCCTGATGCACATTCACCCAATGCAAGGCAAGAGGCTCATTTCCAGAAGGCTACAAAATATAGCCTCATCAGGAAATAGCATTCGCTAATATGTATTTTCGTTCGCATCAGCTAGCATAGTCTCTCAAAAAGCAAGAAAATAAATTCGTAACTATAATATTAACATCTGCCTACTTACACGCCTACAATACTACTAGGTAGATATATCCGATCGTATACCTGCTTTGTCCAGGTTCTGTAAAATGCTGACCTAACACAAAGTCAGATCTTAGCTATATAAGCTAGTATAATAGTCTTATCCTCCACATACAAACCCGTACCTGGCAAATCCGGTTCAGCTCGGGCAAAGCAGTACCAAACCCCCAGGCACTTTGGCCGAGTGGTCTAAGGCGCCGTGTTCAGGTTCTATTCGGAGCAATTCGGATTGGTCAGTTTCGCGGTCTAGTAATAGGCGTGGGTTCGAATCCCACAGGTGTCAAGGTGTACTATCTTTTTGTCCTTTTTGCCCTTTTGCCCTTTTTTCCCACCCTTCCCCTAGATTCCCATTTTATCCCGAAAGAGCAATCATTATATCTATCTCTCTATCTGTGTATTATATCATATCAAGAAAGGAAATAAGAGCGATACAGTCCTCCCCGTCATGTTTGCAGTAGTACTACATGGATATAGGTAGTATAGGTAACTCGACAAATGACCGCCGCCTCTGAAGTCCGGGCAGCGGGGCCGTTTGATGCGGGGCCTAGGCTGATCGCTAATCAACCAAATGCCCAACCAAACAAACATGGCGAATTGCAGATGCAGATGCAGATGCAGACATGGCTCCAGTCGTTGCATCCTAAATATATTGATATTAAAAGAACTTATCTACACCGTGGATTTGGGTACTTCTTTTTACCCCTCAGTATATTTCCACTCAGGGTAGAGAACAACGAGAAGAGCCTGACTGCCCGTGTTTACCATCCTTCTGCATTATCATCTCATACCCCGAGCGCTCAACAGCAGCCATGTTCGATAAGTTGGAGGCCTTCACTATCCAAACTCAGGAGCATCCTTCTGTTCTTATCCGTGGCATCAGGACTTCCAATCCAGAGCCGGACAGCCCTCCTCTCCTTCTCCTCCACGGCTTCCCTCAAACATACCACATATGGCACCGCATCGCTCCTCTCCTCCCTACCTTCAACCTCGTCATCCCTGACCTCCGCGGCTACGGTATTTCGTCCAAGCCCGCACACGACGTTTCACAGTATGCGAAAAGCGTCATGGCTAGGGATCTCATCATCCTCATGGATGCTCTTGGCTTCCACGATGACTTTTACATTTGTGCCCATGACCGTGGGGCAAGAGTCGCTCACAAGCTGCTCGTCGACTACCCTCAGCGAGTACGCAAAGCGATCCTTCTAGATATTTGCCCTACGCTGTCAATGTATGAACTCGGGCATCCGGACTTCGCCAAGGCATACTTTCATTGGTACATGCTCATCCAGCCCACACCCCTACCCGAGACGCTGCTGTCTGGACATCCGCGTCAGATTGCGCAAATGTTTCTGGCCAACAAAATGGCAGACTCTGGCATGAATATTTTTGACGTGAGGGTATTTGAAAACTACGTGAAGGGGTTCCAAGACCCGGAGACGGTGCATGGGTGGTGTCAGGAGTACCGCGCGAGTGCCACGTTTGATCTCGACGAAGCGAGGGACGACTTGGCCAACGGGCGGTTGATTCGTACCCCGATAAGGGTTCTTCTCGGTAATAAAGGCATCGTAGCTAAGCTGTTTGATGGGTTAAAGGAGTGGCAGGATGTCAGTGCGCCGGGGGTTGAAGTTTCTGTCAAGTTGGTCAATTCAGGGCATTTCATTCCAGAAGAGATACCTGAAGAGGTCGTTTTGCATATTGAAGAGTTTTTCCATTGAGTTGGAATCATTCTTCTTCTTTGCGCATATACATATAGAGCGATAAGCTATGCACGAGAGAATGAGACGAATATTACCCATGTCATGAAAGACTATAGATTTTCAAATGCGACTGTCCGCTCTGAAATGTTCCTCCAGGTTAGTGATTGGTTTCTCAAGCAAGGTAGGTAAAGGGTTCGCATATTGACTCGTGCCGATTATTCTTCCGGGCTCCTACTTGTGGCTTGACATTGGTTCTTTTGGCTACCTACAGCTACCTAGTAAGGTAGGTAGGGAGGAGAGGCAAGGGGGCAAGGAGGTCAAACCGCCTTCTCTGGCTCCCGCTGCCGCATTACCGCTTCCACCAGCCACTCCACTTGCGACGCGCCAGCCTCCCCTTGGAAGCCGAACTAAGGCATAAGCAGCAGCAGCTTCAACCCTGTCCTCTGGATCCTTTCCCTTTCAATCCTTCTCTCCTTGTCAAACCAGCCCTTTGCGTGTTGGGTGTCTTCCATCTTGACACCTCCACCATTTGCCATTTTGTTTTTGTTTACCGAATCCTTGATTGGGTCCCTATAAGCGACACCGAACACGAACAGCGCTGATATCTCTCGTTAACCAAAAAGAAACAGCATCCTTACTTACCCAGCCCAGCCTACGGAGTACCTAGTAGTACTATTGAGCATAACTCGCCTACCTACTAATCTTTCCGCCTCGGGAATTCCTACGGTTCCACATTGAAACTTTTACATCCCACCGTTCTCAAAGCCGACAGCCACAAGACGTTTTTGGTGTCTCAATTGAGGAAGCATGCACAGATAGGTAGTTTACCGCAAACGTCAACGTGGGCAATACATACAATGGACGGCTCGTACGGCCACCCTGCGAGGCATGCCCAGTCTCCCATGTAAATCCTCTCTCTCCCCCCGACGATCCTTGTTTGTCTCATTTGACCTGTCGCTGATTGAAGCTTTACAGGTCGCCGCACACATCATCGACGAACAGCAACTACCAGGTTAATGTGAGGAGAAATAAGACGAGAAAATGGGTCGAAGCAAAAGTCCAAAACTATGACGGAGACGATTGGGGAGCCGATGAATTCGAGGAGGAATCCGGGTCCGAGCCTGAGTCTGCACCACCGCCGCCGCCGCCACAGCCTTTATCAACCCAGCGAGCTCAGCTAGGCACGGGTTTTCCATCCGCGAAACCGAGCCGTAGCACGCCGAGCCCAACACCGGGACTGGGCGAGCTTCCATCTTTGCGTGTACAGACCCAACAATCGCCCGTCATTCGAGGCGCCTCACCCGCAGTGTCCGATTTATCGTTTCGAGGACCTCCCGAAGATACTACGGCTAACCAACTCGTATCGCCCCCGTCCACGGGTAGCTTTCACAGCCGTGATGTCGCCGGTAACACAGGATTCGGAAATAGCATGTCACTCAATGCGGCGGCAGCTCAACTACCCCATGAAACCCAGCAAAGCAAGCCATTCGAACACCCGCCACGTACCGCCAGTTTCGAACGACCTTCACGACGCCAAACTCCTCAACCTACGCCCGACAATGGTGTGAAACTGAACGAGGATGAGCATGAACCTGAGAAAACGGCTGACAGAACATCGCCTTTTCTACCCCTATCCGACGCCTCCAAAACTATAACTTCCGGAGGAGATATTCAGCCGGAGCTTGCTGCCAAAACCTTAGAACCACGATTCGAAAATGCGAACGATGGAGCCGAGGCATCTCCTAAACTATTGTCAGAGAAAGATCGGCGCGATACCTGGGAGAGGGACGGCGAGTCCGTTTATTCACGACATTCTAATGTGTCGATTGATAAAATCCGCCACGTTGACACCGGACTTGTGTTGAACAGCACTTCAGTGATTGGCCGAAAGTCTGTTAGTCCACATCGTCTTGAGCACAAAGGTAGCTCTTCGGCACACTCACTTGCTTCAAGGGGCAGAGTTGAGAGTGGATTTGATTCTAGAGCTGGAACACCACCTGTAGAACCCATCAAATCGTCTACCCCAAAGCTTCAGGGATACGAAGCAGGGGATGCTGAGAAACAGCCGGGTAGTCGCACTGGAACACCAGCTAATCTCGCGCAAAAGGATGATGTATCAACCCGAGGTGAAATAGATCCTGCCAAGGAACTGGATGCCGGAACTGGGGGGCTCTTGAAGGCGCCCCTCCCGTACATGATGCAGATGAGGATGAATCTCCTAATGCGTCAGGTGGCGCATCTTTGACGGCTCATGTTCATGATCAAGCTACGTTGCATCCTACTCGGGGCTTTCCCTCTGTCCCCCCTCTACGGACTCCCAGTCCTCATGAGCTGCGGAATACAATCCTAGCACCAGAACCGATTGGCCAAAATATCACCCCTACAGAACCCCTTCAGCCTCGAAAGGGTACCGAATCTCCTGGAGAATTTGAGCCACCGCCTATACGGAGAAATTCTACCTTCAACACCGCAACTTCGTCGCCTTTGAAGGAGAGCGATGTGCTTAGTGATGAAATCCTGAGAACTCTCAGCCCTAGTGGAGCAATCCCTAGCGGCCTCTCTCTCAGACAGGATGCTCAACTGCTTCCACCACGTTCTGTACCTGACCAGAGTGTTGCTAAGGAAAGCAGCTATACTCTTAAAGACTATGATAACTACTGGGAAGATGCGACAGACAAGCCCCAAGGTGGTGAAGAGACAGAAACATCTGCGCCAAGAAGTGTCAGCCCCCACACGCCATCTAATCTCGGGAATGTCGCTCCCATTTCACAGGCAGCAGACGGACCCAAGATCAAACCTGTTGCCTCTCGAACCTCGACAGGTCTTGACGAAGTAATTTCTCCACAGCAATCGCAGAGCAGACGCAGGTTTTCTTGGGAGGCCCCAGATGAGGCAGCTATCACTGCACCTCGGAATGAGCCTACTGACCAATCACCAGCGGAAGGTCGTGCCACTCCTACTCTGAGAATAGAGGCTGCTCCAGAGGACCCCGCGGCTGTCCCATTGCCAGCATCTGGCAATGAATCTGGTAGCCTCAGCTCTAGATCTCAGACGCCGCTGACGCAGCACTCCATGCAGGGGACAGGGGCTCCGGCGATTCCTCAAGGTCAAGAGGCCTCCATCCGCGAAGCACCATCCCCATTGTCAGCATCCGTAGTAAGTGAAGGAGGATTAACAACGGCCCGCGAACAGGCACAAACGTCACCCGCGGAGGAAAATGTGCCTGCCCAGCAGATCTCGACCAGTCTGGTTACGCCTACTCCACCAGCGGAGCATCAACCCACGCTGTATTCACCCGTCTCTGCGACATCCCCGGGCAGTCAACTAGCAGCTGCAAAGGTTATGTCCTTCCGGGACATTTTAGCATTGGGATCAACTACGGAAAGAATAAACATGTTCAACGAAACACGGCGGGTTTTTGCTTCCCAAGAGTCTGGCTTGGATAACTGGCTCTCGTCACTGAGTGCTCAGCATCCTGAACTTGGATTCAATGTCCCAGTCGCATACGGCACGACTACTCAACTGTCGGCGCAAGCAGGGACCGCACCGTTGCCTTCAGTATCTCAACCATCTGCTCAGCAACCTT